CTCCGTTGCTGACTGGTATCTTCGTCGTCGTTGCGTCGGTCTTCGTCAGCCGTCGTTGTGCTGCCACCCCACCCCCGGCTGGCAGAGGGCAGTGAGCAGGTTCTGATCGCCGACTTTTCGCAGTCTGCCTCAGTCCCCTACAGCCTGCGCGGCCCTTGGTAACCCGGGCGACGACCGAGGCGGTATAATTTTCGAAGGCGTCAGTACCATGAGTGGCAGGTGGCTGAATTTTTCGGAGACTTGCCACTGTCTCCAACCCTTCTCCTTTCTCATTCGGGCTTCGGACCGGCAATGGCGGAGTTTTTGTACTTCGAATTTATATTGGGTCTTTTATGATACCGCAGAGGTTGAAAAAGATGCATTCAGGTTTCCGTTGCTTAGATGAACATTGCGATATATGGGCAAACGTTTTTACGGTTTCTGAAAGATGGCAATTGAAAGATGGTACTGCTTCATGCTTGGTTCGAAGATGCGTAAAAAGGTTTTCTGGAGCTTTGTCTGCGATATAGCTAATTCTGCCAATCGTAACTTTTATATTCTCCGTAATGATTCGTGCAATGTCATTTTCTCAGGCTGATTAGTTTTGATCGCTCCTGATTGTTTAATTATTCGTTTAATGCGCATGATTTCTTGCCATACGGTTCTGCGATCTGTTTCAGAACAACCTAAGCGAGTTAAAGTTATCTACGGCTTATTGTTTTGATCAGGTAATAATTCCAGAATAGCGGTAGATGATTGATTTTTTGACCGGTTCTCATGCTTATTTATGATCTTTCAATACTTATCATTTTTCGCAAAAATCGATTTGACTGACTTTTATGTTTCGTATTTCGTCGTAATTTTTTTATTTATAGCTGCCGAAGACGAAAGTCGCAACAGATACAAACTATTTTTGGAATGTACACTCATACTGACTTCGGTCGTCCCTCCGGAACTGCCAATTGAACTTTCTTTAGCCGTCAACCATTCTCTGCTGGCATTGCAGAAGTTAGGTAAGATATAAGATGTTACATAGTAAAATGAACACAATGTTTGGTATTTTTGGTAAACAAACTGGTTATGGTTACATCATATCATTGAAGCTATCCAGAGAACCAGTTTACCCTATTTAAATTAACTATAGAAGGAGTTATCGATTCGTGCCTGTTTGAATAACAGTTAATCGTTAATGGTTGCTCTGAAGATAGCAGTTATGGGCGGTATCGAAGCGGGTCGGTAAATAAGTGATTCTCTTTCGTCCTTCTCTTTAAAGTTGTTGCTTGCTTCTTGGCGTGACACTACACTTGCACACTTATGAGTTTAGACGTTTCATAACGGAAATTTCAATTCTGGGCACATGGCTCATCAGTCGAATGTCCTAATTTATGGTTATGAATTCTAAGTGACAAAGGATGAATCCCTAGAGATGGAAAGTGATTAATGGGAATATGCTGCTTGTGTTCAGCAAGTTAGTTTACTGGCAATGAATTTTCCAGTTTACTGTAGCAGAAATGATTCGGTCGATGTGATTCATGTTGATGAGGATGGATCTGGGTTTATTTAGGTCTGGTCTTCATTGTGCCTGTCGTCCAGTGCATTTGGGAGATGATTCATAACTGATTCAGGAATAAGTCAGTATTCATAAATTTTCTATGTTTATGTATGTTGTATAATTTAGTGCTTAGTAAAGTCAGGAATTTCTTGATAATTACAGTTTTTCGCTTAATTGAGAAAATGCAGGATGTCAGTTTTTATACAAATTTTAGGGATATTCTGTACGGAACCGTTTCGCATCCCTTTCGCAGGTAAAGTCGACATATGTTGTTTCGACAAAACTGGCACGTTGACCTCGGATAATCTGATAGTAGAGGGTGTGACAGCACCGAAGTAAGGCCACGTTTGCCATTGAGGATCTGTGTGTCTATTGCTGATGTTTTAGCTCTGGTGTGGAAATTTGTCCTTACCCCGAATTGCCGGTTGAAACAAGACGTGTTCTTGCTTCATGCCACAGTCTGGTTAAGATGGAGGACGAAGTCATAGGTGATCCTTTGGAGAAGGCCTGTCTGGCATATGCCGAGTGGGTTTTGACTCGAAGTACGATAACTGAAGCATCTTTTCAGATCATTTAACTACTTATAATTTCAGACGACTCGGTGATTCCGACAAAAGGAAATGACCTGCCACTCCACATCATCCACCGTTATCATTTTTCGTCGTCACTGAAGCGGATGTCCGTTATTGCCAGCTACATATCCAATAATTCTGCGAATGTCACGTATTTTGCTGTGACAAAGGGGGCGCCGGAAATCTTAAAATCACGAGTAATTACATAGTGAACCATATGCTGCGTGCACTTCAAATTAATTTTGTTTTCACTCTGGTTCGACATCAGTTTTGCTGTCATCATCATCGTCAAAATTTGCGTTACATCGAGTTCAGTAGAAGGGTAGAGTTTTCTGAGTCGATTATGCCGGGCTCGGTTGAAAAGTACTCACAGATTTTGCTGAGAAAGTAGGTATGATATGACGATCATGATTTCTCATTCATTTGTTTATTTTCTCATACAGCTGCTCATTTTGCAGTTTTGTGGCACTGAGTGTTGTTTCAGAAGGTTTATTTATATATCTGGTAGTTAAGTCGCACTGTGTTCCTTCGCGTATTAGATCCATAAACTGAACATTGCCGAATATTCTATATCCTCAGTCGTCCTGCCGCTGGTTACCTCTTTTCTGTCTTCCATGTAATTTGGCCAAGTGAGTCCAGTAATCATAGGTAATCTCTCCTCTGCTTTACAAATCAAATACGTCCCACAATTTCGACTGTACTCTCTAAACTTAAAGAGGTGAGCGATGATATCATAGATTGCCATTTCATTGTTCTGAAACTTGTACCTTATTCTAGTAGCAGTTACTCGAAGGAAAACCTGCTTCATAAGCTCGTATCTGCCATCACGCTCTAATGTTCAGTGTTCAGCCATCAGCACTTAGAGGTGATGGTAGGCATTTAGTCCGACTTCAGAATACAGAGCTTCGTACCTTTGCTTATTTGTTGCTGCATCATTCGTTTTGCTTCCTCAAACCATCCTTTGTACCAACCCGCGCTAATCTTTCTCCTGATATTTGATTGGTCTCATTCATCGATCATAATTGAGCTATGCCTTAGATTCTGTGATGCGTAGTTCGCTTTTGGGAATCGTTTAAAATCGGCCTACTCAGTCGGTAGAGATTATAACTCAGAAGCACGTGGCCCGGGTTTCAGCCCGGTCGGTTTCACATGCGTTTCTTCCTTCTTTTGTCGATGAGAGAATACCATTTTGTGGAAATGAAACTTGAGACTACATGCTGTGTTTGTCTCATATTTGCTACCAGACTCTGCCTAAATGCTAGGGCACCCCTGACTGATGGTTTGAAGTGGAAATCGAAGTTTCATGATTAGCACCGTGAATAGACGGGAACCAGAAATGGCCCCATTATGAAAGTGTGTAGAAGACGCATATTCTGATGGTTACAAATTTTCTTCCCTCTTTTCTTTATTTAAATGCTTATACTTGCTCACCTATCTCAATTGCCTTCAGTAACAAAATTTTAAATAAATTTAATTCATTCCTGAAAAACGTAACAATTGACAAAGATTTATCGACGGCGAGTAGAACCGTTCGCAAACGCACTGCATTTACTCTGGATTGCGCGTGATAAAATTTTTATTTTGCATCTCTAAAAATGACAGATCAAAATCTCGATCTACGTCACAAGAAATATGGATTTTCATATTGATCAGGGAGATTGCAAGATGAAAGGCAACCCTTTTTCGTTGGAGAATCCTGAAGATTTTCGCCGTTTGACTGTTAGCCTGAAGATGTTTATTAACCTGCTGTTAAATATTCTGTTCTTAAATTTATGGCCCCCAAAATTTTTCATTCTTATTTAATGGTCTAATAAGTAATAATTTTGTTTTTAGTTTGTGGAAAAGCCAAAAAACTATGATGAACTGTTCCAGAAAATGAGCCGTGAGGGTGCCAGGGTTCTTGCTCTTGGTTACAAAGAACTCGGAGTCCTTACTCTTCAAGAAGTAAGTGTCGATCAGCTTACTTCCTCATATTTTGACTTTTGAAGGTTAAAAAAATCAGCCGAAGCGAAATTGAAAGCGGATTGGTGTTTTGTGGATTTCTCGTCATGACTTGTCCGTTAAAATCAGATTCGAAGCGAGTCATGCAGGAAATTCTATGCTCTAACCACAAGGTGAGGTCGCAGCCAAAACGGATTCACACCATGTCGTATCTGTAAAGCCCAATCTAGCTTTAGTTTAAGATGAGCACATGAAATTAGATCCATCCAGAAGTTTGCCGAATAACTAAGCGATGATGGTGATTTTGTGGAGCATTGCCTTGACGACAGTTTTTCAGGATGGCTGGCAAAATTGCTAATGGTATCGCTATTAGATAGGCGTAGTCAACGGGCACATATGCGCCAGTGAATACTGTACTCTTCTGGCACTAGCCAGAGACATTCTTTATGTATAAACCGATGTCGTTTGTAGTTTGTCAGACCCATATGTTCTTCAGGCGATCAGCTCGACAATTCCATGCAGAGGACGGACCTCTCCCGCATATCACTTGCATGGAATTCAACAGGGAACAATTTAGAGATTACGACGTTCAGTTCTAGTGACGTGACTAAAAAAACGATAGTCGTTATCTGCTATCGTTATTATAGCGTTGGATGGTTTCATGAAATCAGTTCTTGTTGAGTTTTATGAACTTTTCGTCACACTCATCCCATAGTTGAAAAATCGTCTTCGTAAATAGCTACCATATTTTAGCAGTTTTTTTATTGTTATACGTTCTTTTATTGTAGGCTTTGATAATCACCGGCGATAATCCGTTAACAGCTGCTCATGTAGCAAAAGAACTGAATTTTTTCGATCCAACGAAGACTGTGCTCATTTTGAATGAACCGAAGAACAGTATAGGTCAGATCACTTGAATTTGTTTAATACCAATACGTCACTGCTGTTTTTGAAATCATATTTTTGTTTAACATATTAACATTATTTAACATGTGTATTTATACACGATGCTCATTTTAAAAACACGAAATGCAATATTCTTTTGTGCTTGCTATTAGCATGTTGCAAAAGAAAACTTTTGTTGCCCAGAAATGGTCTTATTTTACCCTTGATACGCGTGTAACTTTTCTGAACTGTGTTTCCCAATTGTACTACACACATTACCCCATATTCATTGATGCCTAGGGAGCTGTTCAGCCGCGTCACCGTTCCTTGGTGTGTCTAGTTTGGTAAAACAGTTCATTGTTTAACACCTGTGGTGTTTTAAGAGCCGATGCTTTTATATTCCTTCGCAAAACAGTTAAAGTATTTCAAGAGCTGACTGACTCTAACAAGAATCCGGCCAAGGTTTTTGTATTAGTAAATTCTCCCAACATTCGCGAAGTGGTTTATGGTTCCAGAACAGAAGGCCAAGCGGCGGTGCTGCTACTGAAATGACCGGATGCCACCTGTCACCATGCCAAAAAGAGCATAGCTGCATTCCACCCGCACAGGAACCACAAGGGTCGGTCTATCGCACCTACAACCATAGGTTCCTGGCAGCGGGTTGATCATATCTGATGGACCCATTACAAAGAATAAAGTAAACGGGACAGGTTAAACGAAACCAGTCAACTTTCTAACATCATTTTGTGAATGCTTTATAAAGTTGACATCATATCACCTATTCAGTTGTTGCCGATAAATATACTGTGAAGATATGTTTTTAAACATTGCGACCTTTATTCAGGTTTTACTTTTATTTCACGCGCAGCCCACTTCGTCTGTAGCATATGTTCTTCTCAGAATTATGTTAATAAGAAGCCAGTCAGTATTAAAGACCGCTTATCCTTTCGGGTGGGGTAGGCACTAGTTGTTAGCCAGACGTCCCGGTTCCAATGCTAGTGTCTCAGCATTCACAAGTAAATTCCGTTGAGGCACTTGTGATTCTTGGTTGTTGCGGGGTTTTCAACGAGCGGTTGAGCAAGAGTGCTTTTGCGCTTTCGCTAAACGTACCCAACTCATCGTAACTTCAAATCCTTTTTACCTGAAACGCACAGTAGCCTTCTATCGTTTTATTACATCCTGATCAGACTACATTTGTAGTTTATAGAATCACCATTCTACTAATCATCAGCATCATTCTTGCATTTTCAGCTAATTCAGACCAATTGCTTGCTATTTAGGCTATTTCATTTGCCCTTATGATTTCCATATTTCTGAAAGAATCCAAAATCTTTGGGTCGCCTTTCAGGAAAATAAATTATGGAAAAAATTTATTAAATCTATTCTCATTTTGACATTGTCGCTTAGTGTTGCTGCTATTATCCTGTATCATAGGAAGTCCATATGCTATTGATCCAGGTTCTCTCATTGAGATCTGTATTGTGTGATATATCTGATTATTGTCTGCACATGCATAATCGCGTCCTATATTTTATATCGTCATATTAGTAATCGCTGCTTTATAAATATCTGGTAAATTTTCAAGCCCTCCGAAGTTGAAATTTATTGGGAAAAGAGGGGCGGCTATGTTGTAGTGGGTATGTTGTTTGGCTTTATAGTTTGCAGTTTAGAGTTGCTGAGCTCGAATGCCAGCGCAACGTAAAATTTTCTTATTGATTGCTTATCTATCCTTTAGTACTTCAGTTGAACAAGTAGAGAGATGGACGACATGTTCGGTCATTTGATAATAATGGGTGTGTCATGGTTCTGTGCTGTGGTCATACCAGAGCATGTGTGGTCTCCCTTAAAATGCGACCTTCATGTACATTTTTGGGTTTACAAGCCCTCAGAGGAATCAGTGAACTGTTTCTAACAACCTGCATACTTCCTCTAATTACACATGCTTCGCCAAAATACTTAATATGCTTCGTAATTTCTTCCTTCATAAACTGGACATACGCAAGTTTCGATCCATTGTCGGCAGAACTGGTCAGCTGTCCCAAATGAATATCATTAATGTCGCGGAAGATCAGATTCTGAGATTTCGTAAAATTTGGTAAAACTGTTCTAACGGATCCTCTCCATCTCCTTCACCAGTCAGTTCACTTCGAACGTATTCCACAATATCTTTCTATGTGTGCCTCTATGCGAAAGCAAGCATACAAAAGTCTGTGATTTTGCAGATGGTTCTGACATGCAGAACAAAGAATGAGAAGGGCGGAGTCTCCGAATCGATCCTCTCAATGTTCCCCATATGGTTAAATATTCATATGCTTTAACTTTCTATCCATCAGTCCGTTTCCTCTTCATCATTCTCTGTTCATTGTCATTACATTATGGTGTATTTTGTTTGTTTCTGTGCATCATGTGGATATGCCTATGCCGATGTTCAGCGATTGCTGAAATGTTAGTCGGTTTTAATTTTGCATTCTCTTTCCTCTAATTTAAGCAGTAAACTCTTGACTGATTTGAAATTGTCGGACGTGTCCCTGATACTACTGCAGTTCGCGTTGTTCTATTTTGACACAGCACAAGTTGTAAACCGTAGACTTTATAAATTGACAGTTTAATATAATAAATAAATAAAGTATTAATGAATATCCGGAACATATAAATCTGCTGGTCAGAATGAAGAAATCAGTGTTCTTTTTATCAGCCAGAAAAAAATGCATCTTCATGTTCAGCTTTTATTTTTAGCAAAATGTCGTATGATGAATATACTTGCTGTAGAGTATAGACCGTGCCTTATTTTGACTCTGTACAATGTGGTATGGAGGTAGGAGCCTTCGAACGCTCGTCGAAACTTTTCGAATATAGATATTCTA